GGGGGGGGGGGGGGGGGGGGGGCGGGAGAGAACAGTTTGTATTACTGCTGCAAGCGGAAAATTGTTAATACTTTTTCCGTAAGTTCAAGATGGCCGTAAGAATAAATATGTTAAAAGTAGAGTGCTTTAAGCCCAGCCGGTGTGGCTCAGTGGATTGAGCCTGGCTCCGTGGACCAAAAGGTTCCTGGTTCCCTTCTGGTCAGAGCACATGCCCAGGCTCCATGCCCAGTAGGGGTCGTGCAGAAGGCAGCCTATTGGTGTTTCTATTGCTCTCTCCCTGACTCTAAAAATCAACAACAACAATTTTTTAAAAAAGAAAGCATAATGCTTTGAATAAAAAGTGTCTGCCTGCCAATATCCTATCTGGCCCAGGCTATCCCTCTGGGAACCCTTGTCATCCATTATCCCTGGTGTTCGGCCACCAGACCATGCAGCTCACAGCCTCTTCTCTCCCCACTCCCCACTCCCCACTGCCAGTGCGGGGGACACACAATTCTCACCAGCATTCATTCGTTCATTCGTTCCTGTTCACTTCCTTTGCTGAGTAGCTCCTCTGGGCCAGAGCTGAGTCTCTGGTGCTGCTGTGGAGACAGCCCGCCCTAGCCCTGCCCTCCTGGAGTTCCCAGTCCAAGTCCAGCGGGACGGAAGGGCCAAGCAGTGCTATCAGCACTCAGGGCCTAGATGCCAGGAGCCCTCCTGTGGGCACATCCTGCAGACCAGGACACCGGGACCTTCCCCAGCAGGGGAGGCACCTGCTAAGAGCCCTGAGCTTCTGAGCAGGAACAGGCCAGCCTGAGAGCTGCCCTGGGCTCTGGGGAGCAGGCCCAGCTTTGACTAGGAAAGAGGGGGTCATGGGCTGAGCCCTCATTCCTGCAAGGGAGTCCTAGGCAGTGAAAAGAATGGGGACCAGTGTGAAGGAAGGGAGAGTCCGTGGCTCAGCCACTGTCAGGCCCGGTGCTGGCCACTCTGCTGCCTCACCTGTGCTTCCCATGCCTCCGGCTCTCCTGCCTCAGCAGAGGAAACCAAAGACCAGACGGGTTGGGCAGCTTGCCCAGGGCCACTGCAAGGCAGGGGGCTGTCCGAAGCCCCTGGCATTGTTGGTGTAGCTGCCCATCCTCTGGCTTGAGCCAGAACCAGACTCCTGGAGGAACCAGCTCCCCCCTAAACCCTCTTCCCTCACCTTGAGCCTGAAAATCCCCAGCAGGAGTGTCCTCTCCCTATGAGCTGGGAGGCTCATCCCTGCCTGGCACTGCCCACCTGTCTCTTCAGTGCCAGAGGCAGGCTCCAGAGGAATCTGGCCCACAACTGAACTCAGTAGCAGGACCTCACTGACCACCATCCTTCTGGGAGTTGACCCCTGCAGCCCACACCCAGCCTGACAGTCCCCCGCCCACTCTCACCTGGCTGGTAGACAGAAGGCCGAATGCTGGCAGTGGTGACAACCCGCGGCTTGGGCGCAGCAGCTGCTGGGGCTTCAGTGTATGGATGGGCAGCAGGTGCTGGAGAGGTCGCCTGGGCCGTACCGTGAGCAGAAGCCTGGGGCCTGGAACCAAGGGGGCAGAGTTAGCAGCCGGAAGGACAGCCCGGGCCTTGGTGCTGGCAGCCCGGCAGGTTGTTCTCCATCCTCGGGAGCCTCTGGAGAGAGGACATCTGACAGATGGTCTGGAGCTGCCCGAGGCTGCGAGGAAAGACCACGAGGTTGTGGGGGGCGGAAGCTGCTCCTTAGGTGAGGAGTTTTGGTGAGTTTTGTTAAAGCAGCAGACACCTCAAGAAATAGAGCCCATTGCTGCTGTCACCGCCTTGCAGAGATGGAGGAAGCCAAGCTGCCAGCTGGCAGGAGGGGGCACAGGAGATTCTCCACCCTCTGGGGAGAGGCCGCCAGGGACGGTCTGGGGCTGGAGGGACAGAGGCTGGAGAGAGGAGAGATGGAGGTAGTCAGAGCTGCCCCCTCCCTCCACCTTCTGATCTTGGGGCACTTCACAGCCTTAGACCCCTGGCCTCCTCCCCTCCCCCTTTCTACTGTTGCTGGAAGGAGCAGTAAAGTCTCGGGTTTCTGGGCAAGAGTGCTCCGGCAGGGAGACCCTCACCCCCAAACACGGTTCTCTTCCATATGGTTCTCTTGCCTCTCCCACTGCGTTCCCCCAAGAGGCTGAGAGCAGCCTTTTTCTACTCTGACCCAGGTATCATAGGACCAAAGAGAATGGAAACAGTGACCCCGTGCATTGCCCTCAGGAAATGCGGTGCGTGGCCTGTCTTCTCGGAGAGCCGACAGCTCCAAGAATGTGCCCCAATTTCCTGTGTCTGTGAACCCTGCCCCTCCTTTTCTTTTCGCATTTAAAACTAATGAATATCTTACAGAACACGCCCTTGTCTCTCCCTACCTTTTCCAGATCCCACAGGGACCACGTGACCACACCCAGTGGAAATGGGGTGCTAGAGACATGAGCCCCCGGAAACGTGCTGTCCTCCTCAGCCCACGGCTGCCTTCCTTCCACCTGGCCTGAATGGTCGGTCCTCCCCCCCCCCTCCCCCGCCCCTGCATCAAGCTGGGCGGAGCCACAGGAGCAGGGCCTGCCTTGTCTCTCCTGCTCTGGAGGGGGTGGCCCTGAGCTAAGAACCTCGGTGGGAGGTGCAGACAGTGCCGGTGGCCGAGCCTCCGACCCTCGTCCTGGGCCCGGTGGAGTGCAGCTTGCCCTGCCACACTGAGGGAGGCCATCGTCTCCCCTCCCTGGGCCTGCCCTTCTCTGACCGAACTGTCGAGACCAGTGGAATAGGGGCCTCCAGGGAAGAGGAGGAGGCAGTGTCCATGGGGTGCCCTGCTTCCATTGGTGGGAGGAGGCCAAAGTAGTGGGTGTCAGCCAGACTTTCTCCCCCGTGGAGGACGCTTTCCCCACACCCCAGGAGCTGTGACCCTGGTCAGGGGGTGCTGATGGAGGAGGAGGCCGAGGCTTCCGATATCCAGCAAGAATTCTGAGGCCAGGCTCCAGGACAGTTTGGGTGGCCATTTGCCTCCCACTTGCTCCCTCTACCTTCATCCCAGCCCTTGTGTCAGAAGGGAGGGAGCTGGGCCCGGAGGTGGTCTCCTGCTCCCTTCTGCTCCAGCCCTTGCAGGAGCTCTCCAGGCTCCTCCCCAGCCTCCACCCAGGCAGTCACTCTCTTTGCAAGACAAAGTGAAGAAAGGGTCTGCCCTGTTGAAGGAGCCCTGAGGGCCCAGGATAGAGGCCTGGAGCCTGAGCAGGGCCCACATCTACAGCTCCCCAGTCCAAACTGGGGGGCATCTTTCCACTCAGCAGCAGGGACATTTCAACCCTCCTCTGCCTTCTTTGGCTCTCACCTCAGCCATTCTGGTGCGCAGAGGGAAGCACTTGCTAAGTGCCCTCTGGCAGCTGGGATAGAAAACTGTGGAGGCCGGGTGGGCTCACCCTGAGGCTTGAGTTGGGCTGGGGAAAGGCTGGGCTCTGCACCACCTGGGTCATTGTACAGCCCAGGGCTAGGGGTACAGACCACAGGCCTGTGGCTAATCTGCCCCCTCCATCCTCCTCAGGCTGCACCAGGGACTTGTGCACCCGACTCTGAGAGGCATGTCCTTTCCACAAAACCGGGGGTGGGGGGGTGGGGGGGGCAGGAGACTGAGAGCTGGCTCTGACCCTAACACCAGGTGGACACTCCATGCAGCCCATAGAGAGCTGGGTCTGGAGGCCTGCTTGCTGCCTGGCTGTGCCAGACCACCTGCCAGCCTGCCCCCACCTCCCCGGGTGCTCTCCACCAAGCCCCGCCCGTTGCTGGGCGCCAGGAGAGCGGGTGGAGAGCAGTACCCTGCAACACTGGAGACCACTTTGTGTGCGAGGTGGCTTAGGCACACTTTTTCTGTCCCAACCCTACAAAATCAACGTTGCATTAAACGTCTTAGCAGACGAGGAAACTGACGTTCAGATTCAGTAACTTTCTGGAGATTACAGACAGGAAGTGGCGGAGGAGAGGTTGAAGCCACACTGCACCAGGTGCCTCTTGCTTCTCCGCCCAGAGAGCAGAGGCTAAGGGCCCAGGGCAAGTCAGTTGCTAAATACCTGGCCTGTCTCCTGTGACCAGGCCAATGCTCCGCCCTCCACGGAGCCTTCCTCAGCTTCCCTAGCCCAGGCGACAACTTCCATTCCCCTAATCCCAGTTCTGGAAACAGACTTTCCAGTCTCCATTTGCTGTCTTACTGTGTGTGTGCGTGTGCATGAGAGAGAGAGAGAGAGAGAGAGAGAGAGAGAGAGAGAGAGATCCCTCTCTTGCCCAAGGAGAGGGCAGAGGGGCCCACATCCTCTCCTGTCTTCAGCCACACTCACACTCCCCTGCACGCTCTGCAGCAGGCAGTGCTAGCCTTGGCCTCCTGGGCCCTGGGCTCCTAACCACCTGGGGTGGGCCTTTCTGAGGGTGAGACACAGCTGCCCACACATGGAGCCAGGGTGAGGCCACTCCTGCCTCCCTTCCCCACAGCCGGGGTGGCACCTGTGGGGCAGTTACCTGGGACTGTCCGCAGGGCTTGAAGCAGGGGCCGAGGCAGAGGCAGCGGCAGCATGGGCAGCGGTTGCAGCCAGGGGTGGCGAGGCTGCGCCGGGAGAGGCAGCAGTAGGCGGCTGGGCAGAAGCGGGCAGCAGCAGGGTGGTGGCCTGGCTGGTGCACACTGGAGCATGCTCAATAGGGGTGCTGATGAGGCGGGACCAAGAAAGACAACAGGTCAAGGGGGCCCTCTGCATGGCGGTGGTGTCTGCAGCAGAGGCACGTTGGGCAGAAGGCACCGTTCATACTGCAGAGTAGGATCTTCCAGAAGCCTGTTCCCAGCTTCAGAGAAAGAGGCCCTCAGGACCCCAAGAGGGAAGGGCTCAGCCCACAAGGAGGATCACAGTAACATCAAAATTATTCTCAAGCCTGGTAAGAGAGGAAGGGAGAGGGAGAGAGAGAAACATCAATGAGGAGAGAGAATCATTGATTGGCTGCCTCCTGCATGCCCCACACTGGGGATTGAGCCTGAAACCTGGGCATGTGCCCTGACTTGGAATCGAACTGTGACCTCCTGGTTCATAGGTTGATGCTCCGGCAGAGCAAGAACCCCCCATTTTTGTGCTTCCAGGTTTTTCTGAGTACAAAAACACAGTATTACAAAAACACGGTGTGATGGAAAAGTAGATTGAATTATCAACCCCCATCCTGCTTTCCTCCCTTCTGTATTTAGTCGGAGGCACATGGCCTTTGAGAAAAGCAGAGGTAGATATTTGAGGGTCAACGGCTTAGGCTCTAGAGTGGCGAGAGCCTGGGCTTTCAGGCTGTGGAGGACTCGGGCACTGACAGCACGTTCGGAAGGTGGAGGAAAGCTGCCGTGCCAGGCTGATCAAGGTTATCTGGACCAGAAAGGGTTAACGTGGCGTGGGGGATCAGAAACAGAGGCAGCTGTGCCCCTTTCCCGGGTAAACCTAGAGAGGTGGCAGGATCTCAGGGTCTCCCATACCCGTGGTGAAGGAGCAGACGGATCCAAGACCATCCTGAGGTGCCCAGGCCCTCGTGTGGCCTGGCGGCCAGAGGGTTTCTCACATGCCCAAGAGTGATGTGCTGTGGCCCTGAGTGCCTGCATGTCTGAGAGACCAGTGGCTGGGAACAAGGGAGGGACTGCAGTGCCAGTGTGACCAGTGTGACCAGTGTGCCCAGATGGTAGGGATATCCCGGCAGGTGCCAGCACAGGGAGACGGACCAGGGCCAGGTGCCCAGGTGCCCACCCTGCCTGCCTTGCTGTTCAGTGAGCATCTCTTCCCCAAACCTCTCCAAGGAAGAGGGAGCACCAGAGCCTGGGCTGGTGGGCTGGATTTCTGCCACCTGGGAAACTGGGCAGAGAGACAAACCAAGTTACAGGAGAGCAAAGAAATGCATTCTCTGCCCCCCGGCCTCGGGCCTGAGACGGGGACTTGCTGCCACAGAGCGGGAGCTGGCTCCCATTGTGGGTGGCCCTGCGCTGAGTTAATTGTTGACCTGGCCCCGTGTGCCTGGCCTGTGTCTGCAGTCCTCACCGTCGCCCTCTGACATGGATATTAGCAACTCTGTTCCGTAGACGGGGGATGGAGACACAGATTTCAAGCTCCCGGAACAGGTAGTGACGGCAGGATCTGGCGGAGGGACACTTGGGTTTGAAGCCTCCCCCAGTACCCCAAGTCCCTCAGGGAGGGAGGAAGACGCTTCTTTGAGTCAGGCAAGTAGGGTCCTTCCCCACAAAAGGCACTCTCCTATTGGACAGGGTGGGGAGTGGGTTTGCCACGCACCAGCTGTGCTGACGGGGGGGGGGGGGGCGGTGAGCATCATTCCTCTGATCCCCTCCACCTGCTGGGCCATTGGTATCAAGACCCTCATTTTCCAGGAGAGGAGCCTGATTCCAGAGGCCGGCATTGCTGGTAAACCCTCACCGCTGCCCGCTGCCTCACTCCTGCCGCCTCAGGTCGAACATGCAGTGAATGGCCTGGGGATCTTGCTCAAATGCAGCTTCTGATTCGGGAGGTTGGGTGGGGCCCCAGG